TCATTTCTTTCAATTATATCACTAACAGGACTTTTAAATGTTTCATCCTTTGACTTCTCAACCCGCTTTATGGCGTCTTTGATTTCAAAATCATTAGACTTGATTAGCCTGTCTTGTTTAAATCTGGAAATATTCTGCTTGACATGATCAATATTCTTCAATTCCTCACTAATGTTCTCAATTTCATTAATTTCCAATTGCTCTGAAAATCGAACAGATTTCTTTTTCAGGCTATTAGTTGTATCGCTTCTGGCTGTCTGAGCTTTTTTATTTCTTAGTTCCATGACTTGCTTCCATAATAGGTTATTCAAATTTTGTGATCCATGCTGATAATCAGTCTGCGGGATAAATGTTGCTCCACTATTTCCATATAGTAAATCATCTGAAAAGTCTTCTTCGTCTTCTTCGTCTTCTTCTTCATCAAATTCAAAGTCCCACTCCTCGTCATCTGCATGGGTTATTGAATTATTCGTATCGTCAAACTTATCCGCAATTAGCTCTAGTTCCAATAATTCATTTCCGTCAATTGCAACTCGATTACCATCAGTGCCTTTTTGGTGAGGAATTTCCTTATAATCTGTACTTAGGAAGTCTTGCAAATTATTTTCCACAATTAGATCCGATATTATTTCTTCATCTGTCTTTTCACTTTTCACCAGCGCATCATCATTACTTGTCTTTTCAACTTCTAAACTTTTATATCCTTCGACACATATTTGTTTAAGCTTGAATTTTTCGTCCGCATTTATCTTTAATTGATCAATTTTATCAAGCAATTTGTCCTGATCAATATTCATTTCATCATATTTCTTCAGTGGAATGATACCCATATCCTGTAATAGTTCAGACAACTGATCATCATCTTCTTCTTGATCATCAATTTCTTCGATTTTTTTGATATTTTCATTCTTTTCACTAGGATTAAAATGTTCATGTCCCTTTGGATATTTACTTTTCTTTTCTTCAGTTTGATCGTTTATTCCTTGAATCTTATTGTTGATTTTTACACTCTTAACATTCCCATATTCATCTAGCTCTTCTTGTATATCCATCATAGGGAGCCCTTCATCTGCTAGCTCTTCTTCTTTAATTTCACGATTTTCAAAAGTCTGTTCTTTATTATTAATTTTTACACTCATGATATTATCTTCATCGTCTAATTCTTCTTGTATATCCAAGAACGGAAGTCCCTCTTCATTAGCGCTCTCTTTTTTATCACTTCCTATCTCTATTTCTCGAAACTTCGAAATATGCTCCATGGTATTCTCCGCATCCTTGATCTTAACATTAAATTCTCCAATTATTTCATGAACGCTTTTAATTCGCCTTGTTAAATAATTTTTGGCATCACTTGGTGTCATTTCAACGAAATACCCGTCTCCCAAGAAAACCATGGCTTTTTCTGCTTTCATATCTACTTTCGCCTGCAAATCTTTGTATAACTCTATTTGATTCAAGAGTAATTTTCTTTTCAGGCTTAGATCAGAAGCGGTCCTCCGGATTTGTTGCACAATGCCATCCATAGAATCATCATATAGCTCCATTCGCTTGGACATATCTGAACTATTCACAATTTACCCTAAGTATTCTACAAATATCTAAATCAGCATCTTAATCTTCTATGAAAGATACAAAAAAAATATTACGTAACATGCACGACTCTTCATGTTTATTTATAATCACTTAGACTAGTTCTCTTTTGTTGATAATTTGTATTGAAGCATCATGTCACCAAGTAGCTTGCAAATTAAGGTCAATGCCTTAAAAAGGTTAATAAAAGAAGAATCATTATACCAACAAGAAGTTGCTGAACAGCAAAATTATGTAAATCAAATGAAATCAAATAATGCTGATGAATACGAATTAAAGAAACAGATCCAAGTATTAGAAGAATCACAAAGAATGGTGCCAGAAGTTTCCGAAAAAATTAAAAAGCATAAACAAGCTTTAATAGAGTATGTGGAAAATTATAAAGGCGATGAGGATTTAAGTGCTGCTAAAGAATTAATTGGTGCCTAACACTATGAAAGGTTCTATATATGCCAAACTAATATCCTAAATAATAAATATATCAAATCTGAGATTTCCCTGCCCCTTGTCTTTTAGATTCCCAGTCTTTTATCGCTAATTCCAATTCTTCATCTTCCGTTAATTCTTGTTGTGATGAATCTTGAGCATATTGATTGGACATTTCTTGTTCGTCCTTTCTCTCTTGCTCATCGTACTCAAATTTATGTTCAATCCATCTTTCGTGTATGTCTATCTCCTTATAACCCGGTAAAGTACCCTGTCTTACTGCTTCACTCCAAATTGAATCGGCACCAACCTCGCTGGTACCAAGACTATAGCCATTTGCTTTGTCAATAACACTTAATAGATTTATCATAGACTGTTTGTTCTCTACTGCCAACACTTCAAATGCTACCAAATTAAAATCCTCGACTAGCTCTCCTATCATCTCTGTTAATCTCACATAGTTTTTACCTAGCACCGAATTAGATTCCTTCTCTAAATATGGTGTAAGATATTTTAGATCCTGGACTTCAGTATAATAATCCAACCTAAATGGCAATTCGCCATATCTTTTCAACATATCAATTTTCGATACCACATTTACGTGAGGTAAATCTAACTGCAACATAGATCTTAAACTCAAAAGTAAAATCGAGATGTATTGTGATGGGCTGGTGAGATATATAGAATCCACTAATGAAACAACACACAACCTCAAATCCTTGGACTTCACTAACTTCTTAAATATCTTGTACAATGAGTTATGATGCGTGAATAACTCAACTTGACCAGGACAATCAAATATTAGATAGTTTCGCTCTTCGACTAATTCATTGATTTTACTTATGAATGCATCTATTCCACTCTCATCCAAACTCTCTAATGCATACATCAAGCCGCCATTTGGACCTAGATTTAGCTCCTCCATTATTTCTTCTAAGGTAACAAAATCTCGTATATCTAACGAACAATCAGGGTATGGTAATGCATCGTTCGCTGGATCAAGATTAATAATGCACAGTTTACGACCTATTGCAGACATAAATTGCTGCATTCCATAGCAATATGTAGACTTTCCCGACCCAGGGGGGCCTATTACTATTTGTCCAAACATGTGTGATATATACCGCTTTCAATGATTCACTTATAAATCCAAGGCATCAGATATATAGAAGGAACAATTTATTTTGCGTTATACACGACTATGTTGAAATCATAGACTTCGAAGGCAATCGGTACTCGTTCACACAACTTACCAGGCTACTTGTACCACAATTAATTCGTTTATCTAAGGTATTCAATAATTGAGGATATTTCTTTGTTTTGTTGTACAGTTCTGTGTTTCAATTAGTCTTTTAATTTACTTGTATACGTTATTTTTTTAATTTGCCACAATGCCTTCCGCTACAAGTGAATCTACTTTCTTAGATAAGACAGTAACAGTTTCACCGTTGGTACTTTTATCTGTTGTGGATCATTATAATAGAGTTGCCAAAGATTCTAAGAAAAGGGTAGTTGGTGTAGTTTTGGGAGATAATTCTTCGGATACTATTAGAGTTACGAATTCATATGCCATCCCTTTTGAAGAAGATGAAAAAAATCCAAGTGTTTGGTTCTTAGACCATAATTTTATAGAATCAATGGGAGAAATGTTCAAAAAAATCAATGCTAAGGAAAAGTTAATCGGCTGGTACCACTCAGGACCAAAATTGAAACCTTCCGATTTAAAAATAAATGATGCGTTCAAAAAGTACGCTCTGAATCCATTGTTATTGATTGTTGATGTCCAGCCTAGAGAAGTTGGTATTCCTACTGACGCTTATTATGCAGTTGATGATATAAAGAATGATGGTTCGGCTGCCGAAAGGACTTTTGTCCATGTTCCGTCTTTAATCGAGGCTGAAGAAGCTGAAGAAATTGGTGTAGAACATTTATTAAGGGATATTAGAGATCAAGCAGCAGGAAATTTGTCATTAAGAGTTACCCAAAGCTACCAATCTTTACTAGGATTACATCAAAAACTAAGAGAAATTGCTAATTATTTAGATAAGGTTTATCAAAAGAAGTTGCCTATAAACCACACAATCCTAGGTAAATTACAAAATGTCTTTAATTTATTGCCTAACTTATCTAATACTGGTGTAAATGCATCCAACAAAATAATTGATAGTCAAGTTCCTAGTCAATCTACTAATCCATTATCAACCGCTTTTACGATTAAAACTAATGATGAATTGATGATGGTTTATATTAGTACCCTAGTAAGAGCAATTATTGCATTCCATGATTTAATTGAAAATAAATTAGAGAATAAAAAGCTAAACGAAAAGAAGCCAGATGACTCTAATCTTGAAGCAGACGCGGCTGATGTCGCTGCATCAGATGTTACTGAAGATAAACCTACGAGTACTTGAAAGGATTAGAAATTCTGCTCGAAAACTTATAGATATATTAATATATATTCGTATAATGTATGAATTTTATGGGCTGTATTGAATAATGTATGAATCGTTACGTGAATTCCTTGTCGTGCGCGAAATCATTTCTAGGAAAATCATTTTGAGTACATCGATCAAACCAAACCAGAATAGCTAATAGCAGGGTTGGTATATTTATAAGTGACTGCCTTGGGAGCTTTTTGCATTTTGTATTATAGTATAATATTGATAGGTTATCTTATTGTCAAGCTATGTCTCAAAAACTTTTAGCTTTTCCCAGGCTAAACTACATCTCGAATTTTAATTTTTTTTATAAGAATACTACAAAGAATTTAATACTAGATCAAAATTTTATTGGGAACCTTTATTTAACATCGACATGTCGCAAGCTTGTTACTGTACCAAGTAACAGAAATATTGTGACGACCTCAAGCAATTTAAAAGAAAATGGTTCGAGTTCAATATTGGAAAACGTCGCTACGAAAGTTTTAAATTGTCAGGAACCTGAAGCAAAACTGTCACAAAAGATCGATACCAACAAAGAAAGCAGCAACAAGATTGAAAACACGCATATTCCGTTTAAAGTTGTGCCTAAAGAACTTGGGAAACCCTCTTCCACGGCTGCAACAACTAGTAGTAAGAGTAGAACTAACTTGCGCACGATAATTCAACCATATGTCAAGTTAACCAAGCCAAATTTGACCGTTTTGGTGACGCTTAGTTCCATATGTTCGTATGCAATTTCACCTTACACCGTTTCTTTGCCTGAGCTTTTGTTCCTCACTGTGGGTACTGCTTTATGTTCTGGGGCAGCAAACGCTATAAATATGGGAAGAGAACCAGAATTTGATAAAAAAATGCCCAGAACTGTGGGGAGGCCTGTTGTCCGTGGATTAATAAGTCCTAAACAAGCTTATCAATTTGCTGGAATCACCGGTTCATTGGGATGCACTATGTTGTTTCTTGGTGTAAATCCCACAGTCTCCTTTTTAGGCTTTCTAAATATTGTATTATATGCTTGGATTTACACATCATTGAAAAGAAAGTCTATTATCAATACATGGGTAGGTGCAATCGTTGGTGCAATTCCACCCTTGATGGGATGGGCGGCATCATCTCCATTAGATCACCCTGGTGCTTGGTGTTTAGCAGGCTTGCTTTACGCCTGGCAATTTCCCCATTTTAATGCCTTATCTCATAATATTGCTGATCAATATAAAGGAGCTGGATATGTTATGACTGCTGCTGAAAACCCAAAATTAAATGCAAGAGTAGCTTTACGTTATTCCTTATTAATGTTTCCATTATGCTTCGGTTTAAGTTATTTCGAAATTACCGACTGGGTATTCCAATTAGATTCAGCGATAGCAAATTCCTGGTTAACCTATTTGGCTTATAAATTTTGGATGCAGATTAAACTAAATTATACAATCAACTCAAAGCCAACTGCTGATGGAATAGCTATGGCGAATATTCACGCTAAGAAGTTATTTTGGGGATCAGTGTGGCACTTGCCAGCAGTTTTGATTTTGGCAATGCTACATAAAAAAGGACAATGGGATAGGTTGTTGATTTATTTAGGCTTGAAGTCTCAAGATGATCGTAAACTACAGCCTTCCAATAATATAGGATTGATATAAAATATTCATGTACATATATATTCAAGTTCATTATCTTAATAATAATGTTTCTTAAAGAAACACCTTTGTTTGACTATTTTCTTAATCTCTTCATGTTTGGGTTAGGTTTCCCTATACACTGCTGTAAATGCTGTGAACAGCATTGAATCATATTATCTATTGCTTCCATTGGCAGTATTTCGATATAGAGAAAGTCTTGCTGCATAAACGTAATCTTTTGAAGCACATTATCACCAACAAGCTGTATTGATAATTAGTTTTGAAGCCTTTTAAAAGCTTCATATATATATTGAGATAATCAGTTGTATTCAAGTTTCTATTTCTTACTAAGTATATGATTAGTATGCGTTGTAATGTTGTTTTGTAGTATTAACCATAATTGTTTGTGAGCTGAATTCGTACTCTAAAATGCCCCATTTAGCGTAAAATATCTGTGCTTATTTTCAAATATGGGTCATAATTTGATAACTTGACAGTTATTTAAGCAATTAGAACATTTTTTTAATTCTTTTTCAAAAGTTATCCTTCTTTTCAATTACTCATTTGAGATATAGAAAGCATTTAATATTGAAGTAAATTCTCCAAGTCCATGTTCTTAAAGTAATCTCTCTCAGGGGCATAATTTCAGTATTCATTTTTAATTAAACAGTTTGTAATCAATACATTCAGATATACACAATATAAAATACTTAGTTATAAAATCTACAATCTAATTACCTTTCAAATTGGTCTCTTAATCTAATAGAATATTAAGATTACCCAATTGAGCTTTTTTCCATTAGTAGTAATTAATATTTGAACTTTAATTAGTATTAATTACTCAAACTAGTAAAAGATAGTTTATTTAATACATTCACCAGTCCATAGGTCATTTCGATTATTCTAAAAGGGAATGTTCACGGGTAGTATTCATCTCTTTACTTAATCAAGTTTTTTTGACTTTTGCAACCAGTTTGCATTTTCTCATTCTAGGACAATAAAATATTACACATCAAATATCTCAATATCTAACCTTAATCCTAATATTCGTCATTCTAGCTAATCCACGTAAGTTGGTGAACGTCATCTTGTTCAATCCCTGTTTAGAATATCCACAATTTGGTAATTGATATCAATCTGACCGAATTTAACTTTATTATCGATAATATGCTCTCTTATAGAATGGTAAAGAATATTGTTGAAACATTCTGCATTATTAGTATATACAGTGTGTATGAATTTGCGGAGAACTCAACGTGGTCGCTAAGAGACTCTACAAATACGTTTCAGAATATTTCCATTTATGGACATTACAATAGATCTGAGCTGATTATGTAATCCTAATATTCTACTATAAAAGGCGAACTATTTACAGGACAAATATATAAAATTAATTTAGGGGATAAGTAATAATGATTTACTTCAACTGAACTGATTGACTTTGTCCAAAGTTAATTACATAACATTGACTGAATGAATGTCATTGTTACAGCTGAATTGATGGTAATTGAGGATAGCATTAATTTGACTGATTATGCTGAAGCTGAAATCAAGACAATAAATGATAGTTTAATTATTTGTTTGCGATCTTGGTGATCTGTCTTATGATCTTGGT